ATAACAATCGAGTTCATTCATATTTTGCGCCTAAAATCTATATACCAAATAAGATTTGAACCCATGATCTCAAAGAGACACAACAATTCAATTCTAGACCAAAAACACTTTGGTATCTTTAATTATAATATGTTTTGGATATTTACGAGCTTTATCATTTTTATTATTTTAGTTTTTGTGAATAATAGCTCATAAGTTATAATCAGAGTAAATTACATATATTGTCCCTATGGTTGGGGAAAATTTCAAGTTTCAACCCTATCTCTTTTTATTTCACTAAAATTCGATGGTTTGAAATTGTTTCGGTTTTGGTATCTAATAGACATAGACTATATTAGTCTTACTAGTTATTTTTTTTATATAATTTTTATTTATTTATTTGTTCTTTTATTATTATAAATTTAAGATATGATCACAAATATAGAACCACTATAAGATTTTGTATTGTCATACAATCTAATATCTTTTTGATCTCCATCCGCCTTTTATCCAACTAGATTGTCACCCTTTCTGCCATTACTTCCTTTGTTTTCTCCGACCATATCAAATAATGGTGAAAATTTAACCAAAACACAAAAATAAAGCCAAAATAAAAATCAAAGATAAAAATTAAAAACATATCTAGAAACTAAAATGTCTTAAAAATCAAGATTCAATCATTGTCTCCTTAATTTCTGTTACTAAGTAGCAAAACCAAACACACAAATAACATAGTTTAATCACAATGAGATCTAAGCAATATTTTTTTTGGAATCGAACAGATATGATAAAACAAAGCCACAACTAGCAAGAAGCTAGAAGGGGACAAGGTACATGAGAAAAAACAATTTAAAAACATAAAAAATGAAAACAACTCCAAGTATGTCAATTGGTGCTACTCCTATTCTCCTTATACTTGAAGCAATCAAACACCAATGCAATTGTAGTGCCATCAATCGTAGTAGAAGGCACCTGAGAATGGTTGGAAACCATTTTATTTCTCGCCATCTATATGCTGATTATCTGGTAAATAATCGCCACCAACATCTTTTTCTTCTTCGGAAAGTTACCCCAAAAAGCAACATAAGCCATCATTTCACGGACCGAGAAGAAGGATCTTTGAGGTATGTCACAAAAAATAAGAATCCATAATAAAGCTTCACGGGAAAAAGGCCTAGAGAAAAATATGATCAATTATTTTAGCTTCCATATGTTACCAGATACAAATACATACAGATACATGCGGTTGTAGTGATGGGAAGTCCACCAATTTATAGGGACAGGGTAGTAGGGTAGTGTGAATTCACCAAAAAATAGCCCTTCAAATAAAGCAACTAACTTTTCAGAGGTATCAACATTAACCACTAAATATGATAATCACTTGCAATCATGATCACCAAGTCAATAACAAAACGCAGGGCTTTTACGGGAAATTTCCCATCAACATTAAGACTGAAGCCACATTCATCAATTTGATCATTTAGTGTAGGGGTGGAATGCTAGTGGTGAACTGGGTTAGTTCCTACAATTCAACAAAGAGGAAGGAGTTGTCTTCCAGTCCCAAGTAAAAGGTGAAGAGGAGACTCAATCCTTAATAAGACGTAATTTTTTTCTTAATGTCATAGAGAGAATGGGACGGTTTTGTAATTTCGTGTCACCCGACCATAAGCCCTTCCAAAATAATGTATCATCCCCTTTTCCAATCGACCGAACCAATATGGAATGTGACAACTAAACAAGCCGTCTAAGATCATCCCCATCTTTTGAAAATTATTCTAGGCGATTGTGATTGTTTTAAAACATAAATGGTATTTGGGTTTTCCATCCAAGTTTTGTATGTCTCACCCCATGACAACAGACATTGTATTTGACTGATCGGAACCCCCAATGCCATTTGATGGAAAAGCTGATTTTAAGAGCTTTTAAGCTCCCAAGACCAAGCATACCTCTTTATTTAGATGCTAAAACCTTCTCCCAACCCACATAATAGAGCCTCATTCTTCCACAAATCTACAAATCAACTTTCCACACGAGATATGAGAAGAACTTGAAATGGAAGTAGAGTGATAAACCATACATGGAGGCAAAGAGGGTTCCATTTCAAGCTAGAGAGGCAGTCACTTTAACTTTAACAAAGAATGGGTGGTGCTTCTATAGACATAAAACATAAAGCAGAATGGGGACATGTGGGAGTGGGTTCTAGGGTGGGGGTGAATTTATTTCCTATTTTATTTTATATAATTAATGTAAACGGGTATTAAAAAGATTAAAATTTATTATTAAACAAAAATAGTATTTTCAACTTGATTCGGTGTCAAAACCAAAACAAATTCAAACCATATGGACAATTAAATGAAAAAATAGGGAAGGAACTCGTAATTATTCCATATCAGAGAAATGATTTATGTAACCAAGCTCGATTAATGACTGATTAATGTCACCAAGCTCGATTAATGACTAATCCCGCCTAATACAACTTATTAGCATTATTCATAGGCATCTTAGAGTGCCAAACTTGTAGTTATCGATTAGTCAACCATCTAGACAAATATTTAAGACACTTTTCTTATAAGTAAGTAGTATATACAATGGAGTTAAAAATATGGGAGCTATAGACAATATTTTTCTCTCTACAAAACAATTTATGTTTTATAGTACAACAATTTATGTTTTATAGTTTTGTACTGTACAACCCTATAAAACATAAATTGTTTTGTATGAAGAAAAAATGTTATTATGTGCCACCCAAACTTGATTAGAATCTATAATGACTACTTACCTTCTTATTCGATTCTTTTTCATTTCATAACATAAGACATTCGTAGAATTATTTTAGAATGGCTAATACATCAATGCACTATCCTACTCCTAAATCATATAACTTATATCTCCAACGAGACTTGGACCCTTAACCTTTCTTTGTGGAGCATTTTTTCTATCAATCCTGATACCACTAGGATATAAACCTTTTGGTACATCCTTATATATATATATATAT